TGTGACTACAGCTGGGGCACTGATGAGACTCCAGCCTTGTCCTTCCTCTCCACAGTATATTATGAGGGACTTCAAGATAAACTTGCCCAGATCCGGGATGCACGGGGAGCCCTAAATGCCCTGCGAGAAGAGCACAGAGAAAAGCTGCGTCGAGCTGCAGAAGAGGCAGAGCGTCAACGTCAAATCCAGCTAGTTCAAAAACTTGAGATCATGAGGCAGAAGAAGCAGGTGAGGCTCGGCCCACGGTGTCCCAACTGTGATTGGAGCAAAGATTCAGATTTGCTATCTTAAAGCATGATTGCCACAGTGTCTAATACATCCTGTGCTGCTCCAACCTTTAGGAATATCTGGAGATGCAACGGCAGTTAGCTATCCAGCGCCTTCAGGAGCAGGAAAAGGAACGCCAGTTACGGTTGGAGCAGCAGAAGCAAACAATCCAGATGAGGGCACAGATGCCTGCTTTCTCCTTGCCGTATGCTCAGGTATGTGGAAGGAGACTGGAGAGGCCAAGAATTCTTTTGTCCCTCCTTTCCCTGCCTATAAAGTTTGCAGGAGCTAATCTTGCTTTCTGCGATTAGCTGCAGGCCATGCCTCCTGCCAGTGGAGTGATCTACCAACCATCAGGACCCACAAGCTTCCCAGGCACCTTCAGCCCAGCAAGCTCTGTGGAAGGCTCACCCATGCACACGGTCTACATGAGCCAGCCCACCCAGGGCAGTACAGGACCCTACACTGCGATGCCTGTGGCAGGAACAGGTAACAGTGAGAAGTCAAAAGAGAGAAAATGAGTGGGTATGGATTTAGCCCATCCCTCTACTGATAGGCTGTAAAGTTCAGCCCAGAAGGATGTCCTTCATCTTGTGTGCGTGTGTTTCAGATCCTGGTATGGTGAGCACCTACATGTACTCCACAGGCAATAATAGTGCACAAGCAGCTGCACAGGGACAGCCAGTGCCCACCACAAATCCTGCCTATTCTTCCTATCAGCCCACACCTACTCAGGGCTATCAGGTAAGTTTGCTCTTGAGCCTCCTCCCCCCAAGTCAAGAGACTAGATCCTAGCATTATATTGGCTAAGGGAAGACTATAAGCCAGTATGGCACACTGGTTGAATTAGCTCTGGGAAAACCCCCATTCAGATCCCTATTCAGACATGAAGCTCACAGGGTGCTCTAGGGCTGGTCAAGTCCTCAGCTTAATTAAGGAGGATTAATTGGGAGGATTAAATAAGGGAGAGATCCACATGTGCTGTCCTTGTTTCCTTGTGGAA